CTACCATTTGTACCACCAGTGTACCACCAGTGTACCACCAGTGTACCACCAGTGTACCACCAGTGTACACCAGTGTACCACCAGTGTACTACCAGTTGTACCACCAGTGTACTACCAGTGTACCACCAGTGTACCACCAGTGTACTACCAGTGTACTACCAGTGTACCACCAGTGTACCACCAGTGTACCACCAGTGTACCACCAGTGTACCACCAGTGTACCACCAGTGTACTACCAGTGTACCACCAGTGTACCACCAGTGTACCACCAGTGTACCACCAGTGTACCACCAGTGTACTACCAGTGTACCACCAGTGTACTACCAGTGTACTACCAGTGTACTACCAGTGTACCACCAGTGTACCACAATTGTACCACCAGTGTACCACCAGTGTACTACCAGTGTACCACCAGTGTCCCACAAGTGTACCACCAGTGTACTACCATGTACCCAGTGTACCACCAGTGTACACCATGTACCACCAGTGTACCACCAGTGTACCACCAGTGTACTACCAGTGTACCACCAGTGTACTACCAGTGTACCACCAGTGTACTACCAGTGTACCACCAGTGTACCACAAGTGTACCACCAGTGTACTACCAGTGTACCACCAGTGTACCACCAGTGTACTACCAGTGTACCACCAGTGTACCACCAGTGTACTACCAGTGTACTACCAGTGTACCACCAGTGTACTACCAGTGTACTACCAGTGTACCACCAGTGTACCACCAGTGTACTACCAGTGTACCACCAGTGTACCACCAGTGTACCACCAGTGTACTACCAGTGTACCACCAGTGTACTACCAGTGTACTACCTGTGTACCACCAGTGTACTACCAGTGTACCACCAGTGTACCACCAGTGTACCACCAGTGTACCACCGGGTTTACTACCAGTGTACCACCAGTGTACCACCAGTGTACTACCAGTGTACCACCAGTGTACCACCAGTGTACCACCAGTGTACCACCAGTGTACCACCAGTGTACCACCAGTGTACCACCAGTGTACCACCAGTGTACTACCAGTGTACCACCAGTGTACTACCAGTGTACTACCAGTGTACCACCAGTGTACTACCAGTGTACCACCAGTGTACCACAAGTGTACCACCAGTGTACCACCAGTGTACCACCAGTGTACCACCAGTGTACCACCAGTGTACCACCAGTGTACCACCAGTGTTCTACCAGTGTTCTACCAGTGTACCACCAGTGTACCACCAGTCTACCACCAGTGTACTACCAGTGTACCACCAGTGTACCACCAGTGTACCACCATTGTACCACCAGTGTACCACCAGTGTTCTACCAGTGTACCACCAGTGTACCACCAGTGTACCACCAGTGTACCACCAGTGTACTACCAGTGTACCACCAGTGTACCACCAGTGTACCACCAGTGTACCACCAGTGTATAACCAGTGTACCACCAGTGTTCTACCACTGTACCACCAGTGTACCACCAGTGTACCACCAGTGTACCGCCATTGTACCACCAGTGTACCACCAGTGTTCTACCAGTGTACCACCAGTGTACCACCAGTGTACCACCAGTGTACCACCAGTGTACCACCGGTGTACCACCGGCGTACCACCAGCGTACCACCAGCGTACCACAAGAGTACCACCAGTGTACCACCAGTGTACCACCAGTGTACCACCAGTGTACAACCAGTGTACCTCCAGAGTACCACCAGTGTACCTCCAGTGTACCACCAGTGTACCACCAGTGTACCACCAGTGTGCTACCAGTGTACCACCAGTGTACCACCAGTGTACCTCCAGTGTACGACCTGTGTACCACCAGTGTACCTCCAGTGTACCACCAGTGTACCACCAGTGTACCAACAGTGTACCACCAGTGTACTACCAGTGTACTACCAGTGTACTACGAGTGTACCACCAGTTTACTACCAGTGTACTACCAGTGTACTACCAGTGTACCACCAGTGTACTACCAGTGTACTACCAGTGTACCACCAGTGTACCACCAGTGTACCACCAGTGTATAACCAGTGTACCACCAGTGTTCTACCACTGTACCACCAGTGTACCACCAGTGTACCACCAGTGTACCACCAGTGTTCTACCAGTGTACCACCAGTGTACCACCAGTGTACCACCAGTGTACCACCAGTGTACCACCGGTGTACCACCGGCGTACCACCAGCGTACCACCAGCGTACCACAAGAGTACCACCAGTGTACCTCCAGTGTACCACCAGTGTACCACCAGTGTACAACCAGTGTACCTCCAGAGTACCACCAGTGTACCTCCAGTGTACCACCAGTGTACCACCAGTGTACCACCAGTGTGCTACCAGTGTACCACCAGTGTACCACCAGTGTACCTCCAGTGTACGACCTGTGTACCACCAGTGTACCTCCAGTGTACCACCAGTGTACCACCAGTGTACCAACAGTGTACCACCAGTGTACTACCAGTGTACTACCAGTGTACTACGAGTGTACCACCAGTTTACTACCAGTGTACTACCAGTGTACTACCAGTGTACCACCAGTGTACTACCAGTGTACTACCAGTGTACCACCAGTGTACCACCAGTGTACCACCAGTGTACCACCAGTGTTCCACCAGTTTACTGCCAGTGTACCACCAGTGTACTACCAGTGTACTACCAGTGTACCACCAGTGTACCACCAGTGTACTACCAGTGTACTACCAGTGTACTACCAGTGTACCACCACTGTACTACCAGTGTACTACCAGTGTTCTACCAGTGTACCACCAGTGTACCACCAGTGTACTACCAGTGTACTACCAGTGTACCACAAGTGTACCACCTGTGTACCACCAGTGTACTACCAGTGTACCACCAGTGTACTACCAGTGGACCACCAGTGTACCACCTGTGTACCACCAGTGTCCTACCAGTGTACCACAAGTGTACCACCAGTGTACCACTAGTGTACCACCAGTGTACAAGGAGTGTACCACCAGTGTACTACCTGTGTACCAACAGTGTACCACCAGCGCATTACTATTGCACCACCAGTGCACCACCAGTGTACCACCAGTGTACTACCAGTGTACCACCAGTGTACCACCTGTGTAATACCAGTTTCCTACCAGTGTACCACTAGTGTACCACTAGTATACCACCAGTGTACAACGAGTGTACCACCAGTGTACTACCAGTGTACTACCAGTGTACCACCAGTGTACCACCATTGTACCACCAGTGTACCACCATTGTACCACCAGTGTACCACCAGTGCACCACCAGTGTACCACCAGTGTACCACCAGTATTACAACCCAAGATTCCAAATGGCCTGTTATCCTGGGTGTAGAGGGAGCAAAATAAACACAGCAGAAAACTTTTGACTTATATTATCCTTCACCAGCAATATGTACACTATGTACAGTGATAAGTATAGTGCATTCCACGGTAAGCAAGGCAGAATAGAAGCCACAAGAAAGCAGACCGTGCTTCAACCAGCTCTAGAATGAGAATGACAAGGGCAGACAGGAGAGTGGTACCCACATAACCTCTGCGATTGCCAAAACCATCTTATTGGCTGGAACCTGGTCACTAGTCGAACGACGGGGCCCCATCATCAACTCTCAGCAACCTGGTTCGCTGGTTGGGGGAGATAGCCTGTAAATGAGGGTGTGTACATGCGCCGAATAAAGGTTACGTACTCTTTGCATGCCACAACCAGTGTACCACCAGTGTACTACGAGTGTACCACCAGTGTTCTGCCTGTGTACCACCAGTGTACCACCAGTGCATTACTATTGCACCACCAGTGCACCACCAGTGTACCACCAGTGCACCACCAGTGCACCACCAGTGCACCACCAGTGCACCACCAGTGTCAGTATGTTTAGTCAATGCTGTGAAGATCATTTCAATAAATATTTTTGCAACGTCTCATTAAGAGCGATATTATACAGAGCACCTAGAGCTCTGCCTAGAGCTCTGCCTTGAGCTCTGCCTAGAGCTTTGTGTAGAGCTCTACGTAGAGCTTAATGACCTTCTTTCTACCACTTAATGTTGAGAAAGCTCTAGAGGTATCCTTGTGACCTGGATGTCTCTGTCTTACAGTGTTAGCAAACAAATATATGTTTATCATTATTATTATTATTATTATTATTATTATTATTATTATTATTATTATTATTATTATTATTATTATTATTATTATTATTATTATTACTATTTTTATTTTTATATTTATTCTTATTTTTGTTATTATATTATTATTTTTTACGAACACAGGTATTAAGTGACCTGTGAGACCTGGTCGTAATAGAAATTGGAGCTAACAAACTCAGCAGTAGACTATAATGTATATTTAGGCCTTCACCCGCTATGTACAGATATGTACACTATGTATAATGTGTACAGATGGGATAATAAGTGTACACCACGGTGACAGATGGCAAAGCAGAAGCCAGAGTTAGTGCACCGTACTCAACCAGCAGGTAGGCAAGTCTGCCAGTGCTTACCGTAGGTGAACCACATTGCTTCAGCTTTGGCGGACTTGCCTGTGATTGGTCAATGAACCAAGGTACTGATCGTTAAACCCTTATCATCCTATATGGGAGTGTGACATACGCCGATTAAATTGTACCACACTCTTTGCATGTCACAGTATTATTATTGTTATTGTTATTATTATTATTATTATTATTATTATTATTATTATTATTATTATTATTATTATTATTATTATTATTATTATTATTATTATTTTATATATTATTATTATTATTAGTAGTAGTAGTAGTAGTAGTAGTAGTAGTAGTAGTAGTAGTAGTAGTAGTAGTAGTAGTAGTAGTAGTAGTAGCAGAATCATTATTTTCTTCACATTGAACGGGAATATCCAGTTCCTCGGAACAAGATCCTATACCCCTTCACCACAGAACGGAGGGTCGAGCCTGTCACATTCTACACCCATTTCAGGATGATGATGATGATGATGATGGTAATAATAATTATTAAAATAATAATTCTGCAGGATGTGTGGGCTGACTCAGGGCATCCTGCAGGCGACGCTGCTGGGTCCTTTCTGCATCCTGATCCTCTTCCTCGTATCACCAGGTGGGGTCCCATTTTGTATTGACAGGTATTAAAGTTACCAGTTGATAAGAATTATTGTTATTATTATTGTTATTGTTGTTGCTGTTATTATTATTATTATTATTATTATTATTATTATTATTATTATTATTATTATTATTATTATTCTTATTATTATTATCACTACTACTACTACTACTAGCTGTTGTACTAGTAGTAATAATGATAGTTTCAATACTAGCAGGAGTAGAAGAAGTGGTAACACTACTACTAATCATAGTAGTGGCAGTAGTAGTAGTAGTTGTAATAGTATTAGCAGTAGTAGTAGTAGTAGTAACAGCAGCAGTAGGTATGGTACTAGTATCAACAGGTTTAAGGAGAATAACTTAGTAAGAGGTTAAACAGCTCCTGGACATACTTCTGGTAATCTGTCTAATGCTCGCTTCATATATATATATATATATATATATAATATATAATATATAATATATATATATATATATATATATATATATATATATTATATATAATATATATATATATATATATAATATATAATATATATATATATATATAATATATATATATATATATATATATATATATATATGTATGTATGTATGTATGTATATATTCCATTAAATGATTACTTTCAACGTTTATTTCACTAATTCAATCTCGTTAAACGTTCCGGTGAAATATTTCATCTATTCGTCGTTTATTTTTTATAAAACGATATTTGGACATTTAGAAAGGTTAATAAATCTCGTTAAAAGATGATTTATTTAATTTTTCAATTGATTCATTCATTCACGTTGATTCGCCGGTACTTCCGGTCCGGGTCTTTTGCAGATTTTCGTATCTCTCTCTCTCTCTGTCTTCCTGATAATGCGCTAAGCCCGTAGGGAAAACCTTATAGCGTCTGGGGTATGGTACATCTTTAGGTTGGACCCAGGGAAGGGTAAGAGAGCTTCACTTTCTCGGATCAAGAACCCTTCAATAGCATCAAGTCACCCTCATTAAAGTCAAACGAAAATAAAATGTCACTATTCGGAAAATTAAGATAATGATGTATCAGAGTTACAAGCTTGAGTGTGTGTGTGTGTACTCACTCACCTGCTTGTGGCTCCAGGGGTCGACTCATAGCTCCTGTCCCCGTGTTTCTAAGTGTATGTGTGTGTGTGTGTGTGTGTGTGGTGGATGTGTGAGTGTGTGTGATTGTGTAAGTGTGTGTGTGTTTGCGTGTGTGTGTTTGTGTATGTGTGTGTGTTTATGTATGTGTGTGTGTGTGTTTGTGTGTGTGTGCTCTTGAGTGTCATTTACAGTGTCTGTCTTGTCTGGCACAGGTAACAGTCTTCGCTGCATCAACTGCACCAGTCTGAGAGATGCCAGGTGTCTGGACGGTGTTGGCAGTGAACAGGAGTGTGCTGACACTGAGAACTACTGCGTCTCCTACACTGGCTATCTCAAGAAGGGTAACTATCTTAATTACTTTAACAAAACCCTTCCCTTACTCCCTTACTCCCGCTCCAGTTACTACGAGAAAGGTATCTCTCTCTCTCCGTTACTCCTACACCAGTAGCATCAAGTAAGCTATCTCTCTCCCTCACTCCCACAACAGTAACATCAAGTAAGGTATCTCTCTCCCTCACTCCCACAACAGTAACATCAAGTAAGGTATCTCTCTCCCTCACTCCCACAACAGTAACATCAAGTAAGGTATCTCTCTCCCTCACTCCCACAACAGTAACATCAAGTAAGGTATCTCTCTCCCTCACTCCCACAACAGTAACATCAAGTAAGGTATCTCTCTCCCTCACTCCCACAACAGTAACATCAAGTAAGGTATCTCTCTCCCTCACTCCCACAACAGTAACATCAAGTAAGGTAGCTCTCTCCCTCACTCCCACAACAGTAACATCAAGTAAGGTATCTCTCTCCCACACTCCCACACCAGTAACATCAAGTAAGGTATATCTCTCCCTCACTCCCACAACAGTAGCATCAAGTAAGGTATCTCCCTCAATCCCACACCAGTAATATCAAGTAAGGTATCTCTCTCCCTCACTCCCACAACAGTAACATCAAGTAAGGTATCTCTCTCCCTCACTCCCACAACAGTAACATCAAGTAAGGTATCTATCTCCCTCACTCCCACACCAGTAACATCAAGTAAGATATCTCCCTCACTCCCACACCAGTAACATCAAGTAAGGTATCTCCCTCACTCCCACACCAGTAACACAAGTAAGGTATCTCCCTCACTCCCACACCAGTAACATCAAGTAAGGTATCTCCCTCACTCCCACACCAGTAACATCAAGTAAGTATCTCTCCCTCACATCCCACACCAGTAACATCAAGTAAGGTATCTCCCTCACTCCCACGCCAGTAACATCAAGTAAGATATCTCCCTCACTCCCACACCAGTAACATCAAGTAAGGTATCTCCCTCACTCCCACACCAGTAACATCAAGTAAGGTATCTCCCTCACTCCCACACCAGTAACATCAAGTAAGGTATCTCCCTCACTCCCACACCAGTAACATCAAGTAAGGTATCTCTCTCCCTCACTCCCACACCAGTAACATCAAGTAAGGTATCTCCCTCACTCCCACACCAGTAACATCAAGTAAGGTATCTCCCTCACTCCCACACCAGTAACATCAAGTAAGGTATCTCCCTCACTCCCACACCAGTAAACATCAAGTAAGATATCTCCCTCACTCCGCACACCAGTAACATCAAGTAAGGTACTCCTCTCCCCCAGTATCAGTAAATCTCCTCCCACATCAGTAACATCAAGTAAGGTATCTCCCTCACTCGCACCACCAGTAACATCAAGTAAGGTATCTCCCTCCACTCCCACACCAGTAACATCAAGTAAGGTATCTCCCTCACTCCCACACCAGTAACATCAAGTAAGGTATCCTCTCCTCACTCCCACACCAGTAACATCAAGTAAGGTATCTCCCTCACTCCCACACCAGTAACATCAAGTAAGGTATCTCCCTCACTCCCACACCAGTAACATCAAGTAAGGTATCTCCCTCACTCCCACACCAGTAACATCAAGTAAGATATCTCCCTCACTCCCACACCATAACATCAAGTAAGGTATCTCCCTCACTCCCACACCAGTAACATCAAGTAAGGTATCTCCCTCACTCCCACACCAGTAACATCAAGTAAGTATCTCCCTCACTCCCACACCAGTAACATCAAGTAAGGATATCTCCCTCACTCCCACACCAGTAACATCAAGTAAGAATCTCCCTCACTCCCACACCAGTAACATCAAGTAAGGTATCTCCCTCACTCCCACACCAGTAACATCAAGTAAGGTATCTCCCTCACTCCCACACCAGTAACATCAAGTAAGATGTCTCCCTCACTCCCACACCAGTAACATCAAGTAAGGTATCTCCCTCACTCCCACACCAGTAACATCAAGTAAGATATCTCCCTCACTCCCACACCAGTAACATCAAGTAAGGTATCTCCCTCACTCCCACACCAGTAACATCAAGTAAGATATCTCCCTCACTCCCCACACCAGTAACATCAAGTAAGATATCTCCCTCACTCCCACACCAGTAACATCAAGTAAGGTATCTCCCTCACTCCCACACCAGTAAACATCAAGTAAGGTATCTCCCTCACTCCCACACCAGTAACATCAAGTAAGGATATCTCCCTCACTCCCACAACCAGTAACATCAAGTAAGATATCTCCCTCACTCCCACACCAGTAACATCAAGTAAGGTATCTCCCCCACTCCCACACAAGTAACATCAAGTAAGGTATCTCCCTCACTCCCACACCAGTAACATCAAGTAAGATATCTCCCTCACTCCCACACCAGTAACATCAAGTAAGGTATCTCCCTCACTCCCACACCAGTAACATCAAGTAAGTATCTCCCTCACTCCCACACCAGTAACATCAAGTAAGATATCTCCCTCACTCCCACACCAGTAACATCAAGTAAGGTATCTCCCCCACTCCCACACCAGTAACATCAAGTAAGGTATCTCCCTCACTCCCACACCAGTAACATCAAGTAAGATATCTCCCTCACTCCCACACCAGTAACATCAAGTAAGGTATCTCCCTCACTCCCACACCAGTAACATCAAGTAAGATATCTCCCTCACTCCCACACCAGTAACATCAAGTATGGTATCTCCCTCACTCCCACACCAGTAACATCAAGTAAGATATCTCCCTCACTCCCACACCAGTAACATCAATTAAGATATCTCCCTCACTCCCACACCAGTAAACATCAAGTAAGTATCTCCCCTCACTCTCCCACACCAGTAACATCAAGTAAGATATCTCCCTCACTCCCACACCAGTAACATCAAGTAAAGTATCTCCCTCACTCCCACACCAGTAACATCAAGTAAGATATCTCCCTCACTCCCACACCAGTAACATCAAGTAAGTATCTCCCTCACTCCCACACCAGTAACATCAAGTAAGTATCTCCCTCACTCCCACACCAGTAACATCAAGTAAGATATCTCCCTCACTCCCACACCAGTAACATCAAGTAAGATATCTCCCTCACTCCCACACCAGTAACATCAAGTAAGGTATCTCCCTCACTCCCACACCAGTAACATCAAGTAAGATATCTCCCTCTCTCCCACACCAGTAACATCAAGTAAGGTATCTCCCTCACTCCCACACCAGTAACATCAAGTAAGGTATCTCCCTCACTCCCACACCAGTAACATCAAGTAAGATATCTCCCTCACTCCCACACCAGTAACATCAAGTAAGGTATCTCCCTCACTCCCACACCAGTAACACAAGTAAGATATCTCCCTCACTCCCACACCAGTAACATCAAGTAAGGTATCTCCCTCACTCCCACACCAGTAACATCAAGTAAGATATCTCCCTCACTCCCACACCAGTAACATCAAGTAAGGTATCTCCCTCACTCCCACACCAGTAACATCAAGTAAGTATCTCCCTCACTCCCACACCAGTAACATCAAGTAAGGATATCTCCCCTCACTCCCACACCAGTAACATCAAGTAAGATATCTCCCTCACTCCCACACCAGTAACATCAAGTAAGGTATCTCCCTCACTCCCACACCAGTAACATCAAGTAAGATATCTCCCTCCTCCACACCATAACATCAATAAGTATCCTTCTTTACTCCCACACCATAACATCAGTAAGGTTTCTCCTACTTCCCACACCAGTACATCAAGTAAGATTATTTCTCGTGTTACCACCCAACATCTTGCTTAGTGTAAATCACTGAGGTTTCCTTCTAGTTTACACAAGTTTTACACTATTAGTTCACATAACTGCAACGTTCCGAATATATCATTATCGTGACTCTCAGAAGTTGCACACACACACAACACACACGTGCACACACACACACAGCACACACCACACACACACACACACACACACACACACACACGCACACACACACACACACACACACACACACACACACACACACACACACACACACACACACACACACACACACACACACACACACACGCACGCACACACACACACACACACACACACACACACACCACACACACACACACACCCACACACACACACACACACACACACACACACACAACACACACACACACACACACACAACACAATTTTTTTCCAACAAATAAACGATAGGAAAGGAATAATTATATTATTATTATTATTACTGTTTTTTATTATTATGATTATTATTGTTAATAGTAATAATAATAATAATAATAATAATAATAATAATAATAATAATAATAATAATAATAATAATAATAATAATAATAATAATTAAAAAATAATAAAATTATTATTATTATTATTATTATTATTATTATTATTATTATTATTATTATTATTATTATTATTGCTATTATTATTATTATTGTTATTGGTGTTGTTATTATCATAATTATTCGTCTCTCACCTGGTACATGACGGCAGGCCAGGCGCAAGTGTTGTTCCGGGCGTGTACGGAGACCAACATGTCTCATTTCTGTGGTGTACACTTCGAAAATCTCACCCACAACCGGGTGGAGCGTCTGATAGCTTGCTACCGCACCTGTAACACCGACCTGTGTAACACCCACCATATGGAATACATCAACCAGTCCACCACCGCTGTCTTCCACTCCCTGCCACTGGCCGCCACTGCCCTCCTAGCTGCCGTCTCCACTCTTGCTTTTAGACTCTGTCTCGATACATGATTGACCGACCCGCTGGCTCTGTCAGTACAGCTCTTTAACTCCATGTTAAAGATGGAATTCTTTACCATATAAATTCAAGTAATGTTTATATATGTGTATATGTGTTAATTTATTGATTGGAAATGAATGGTATGCAGGTAAATCGTAGAGAGAGTAAATCAAGCTTGAGGCCTTTCGGTTCTTACAAAGGACCTTCGTCAGAAGCTCGCAGTTCAGATATTCAGGTTTAAATAGAGAATGCGTGCTTTCAGGAGCATCACGGGTCGAGAATGAGAAAAGGTTTTGACACCAGGGTGCCATACTGAGCACCCACGGGTGGCCAGACAGTGTAAGGGAAGGGAAACATCAGCTCACCGATGTTATGTTATTCGTCTATATTTTAAGCTATATCCATTATATATAAATAAATAAATAAATAAATATATATATATATATATATATATATATATATATATATATATATATATATATATATATATATATATATATTCAATTCGTTTATTCTTTCAGTCAGAATATCCCATGTGTTTCTCTTTCCTGGGGATTACCTGTATATAGACCGTAAGTAGGCAATTGAATATCCATCCTTGGATCGATTTTCCACTTCCTTCAACATTTTAGAAAAAAAAAACAAAGGGTGGACGAGGGTCTCGAACCGCGGTCGTTAAATTGACAGTCGAACTCTCTAGCGCCTCCACCACCAGGCTAACGAGAGGAAGGAGTCGGAACTGGTACTCTACTATATTCCATCAGAGGCACCAAGTGAAGCCTTCCTACAGCCCAGGAGCTTCAAGAGTACATCTATTCTTGCCTCTCTCAAGGCCACACAGGTCTATGAACTCAAGTCACAAATAAACATTGGTCAGTAACAGTTGCTTATTACAACGTAATATGAATTCATTTTTAGAAAAATAATCAAACCATAGCACGGGTGGGGTTTGAACCCGCGGTCAGAGAGTCTCAAAACTCCAAACCGTCAAAAAATATTATTTACCCAAAGCTTGATTACGTATTTCCACCTCCGCTGGACTCAAAATTTCTATTCTCGACATCCTAATCTTATTTATTTATTTATTTATTTATAATAAATTTGTGCACACATACAGAGGTACAAAAAAATACAGATAAGAGCAGTATGCCAAAGCCACTTATACTATGCATAGCATTACGGGCTGGCTTAAAATTAACTTAAGATTAACTAAGCAATGATGAAGTCAGTGATAAAACATTAATGTAAACAGATTACTATAAAGCACAAGTGAGTATTACAAAGACAGGTCATATGAAGGATTCTGTTAGGTAGTGTATTTAAAAAATAATAAAGTTAGATTGGGTTTTAGGTTTAACATTTATGTGATATAATTGTGAGAAACATTTAAGATATACAATTTATAAAGTTCAGTTATTCAGTATTTATTTGGTTTTGGGTGAGTAAGTGATCTTTGAGTAGAGACTTGAACTTATAAACAGGTAGTGTTTCTTTTATATTTACAGGTAATGAATTCCAGATTTTAGGGCCTTTTATGTGCATTGAGTTTTTGCATATTGTGAGATGAACACGAGGAACATCAAAGAGTGATCTGTGTCTTGTGTTATGGTCATGTGTTCTGTTGAGGTTGGCAAGGAGATGTTTGAGGGGAGGGTTAATATCAGAGTTAAGTGTTCTATGTATGTAATAGGTGCAGTAATAAGTATGGATGTTTTGTATGGTGAGTAGGTTTAGTGTATTGAATATTGGTGGAGTGTGCTGCCTGTAGTGAGAATTTGTTATCTTCTTTGCTTGTTCAGTTAATTATAACACTGGCTTGGTCTAGTTCAGTGTTTCTCTATGGTAATACAGATGTCTTGAGTTGCCTCTCACTGGTCTTAAGACACTCAGCTTAAAGGACTAATGAAGAACGACTTATTGCAAGGGGTAATGGCTGAGTGACAGCACTCATGGAGTAAGTGTGCTGTCAGTGTTAACATGGAGTAAGTGTGCTGTCAGTGTGACATGCAGTAAGTGTGCTGTCAGTGTTAACATGGAGTAAGTGTGCTGTCAGTGTTAACATGGAGTAAGTGTGCTGTCAGTGTTAACATGGAGTAAGTGTGCTGTCAGTGTTAACATGGAGTAAGTGTGCTGTCAGTGTTAACATGGAGTAAGTGTACTGTCAGTGTTAACACGGAGTAAGTGTGCTGTCAGTGTTAACATGGAGTAAGTGTGCTGTCAGTGTTAACATGGAGTAAGTGTGCTGTCAGTGTTAACATGGAGTAAGTGTACTGTCAGTGTTAACACGGAGTAAGTGTGCTGTCAGTGTTAACACGGAGTAAGTGTACTGTCAGTGTTAACACGGAGTAAGTGTACTGTCAGTGTTGACATGGAGTAAGTGTACTGTCAGTGTTAACACGGAGTAAGTGTACTGTCAGTGTTAACATGGAGTAAGTGTACTGTCAGTGTTAACACGGAGTAAGTGTACTGTCAGTGTTAACACGGAGTAAGTGTGCTGTCAGTGTTAACATGGAGTAAGTGTGCTGTCAGTGTTAACATGGAGTAAGTGTACTGTCAGTGTTAACACGGAGTAAGTGTGCTGTCAGTGTTAACATGGAGTAAGTGTACTGTCAGTGTTAACACGGAGTAAGTGTGCTGTCAGTGTTAACATGGAGTAAGTGTGCTGTCAGTGCCACAGGTGACGACAACCTCAATGAAAGCAGCCTCGGCCAGAAACGACGGAGATTTGAAGCCTCTGGATGAATTACGGTATTCTTAATTACTGGTATGAGGACTATTCTTAATTACTAGTATGAGTACCATTCTTAATTACTAGTATGAGTACCATTCTTAATTACTAGTATGAGTACCATTCTTAATTACTAGTATGAGTACCATTCTTAATTACCAGTATGACTACCATTCTTAATTACTAGTATGAGTACCATTCTTAATTAGTGGTATGAGTACCATTCTTAATTAGTGGTATGAGTACCATTCTTAAATATTACAGTGAGTTCAAGTAAGGAGTGAGTAGCAGTCTGACTGAACGACCAAGGCAGTGGCGGGACGAACGAAGAGAGTGGGGGGAAGACCCCTTCCCTGCTTTACCACCCCTTGTCTCAGTCATGCAATCAAAGTGGGAGAAGAAAAAGTCCATTTTAAAAAGCAGAGAGGAGTGTTGTGTACCTTAAGTCTGTTGTGTTGTCCCTTTTTCCCAAAATATATTCTACCTGTCCTTCCCCCCCCTCTCTCTCTCTCTCTCTCTCTCACCCTCTCCTCTTGAATTCTTAAATATATATATATAATTATAAAAAATATATGAAAAATAATTATATATAAAAAATATATATAATATATATATATATTTTATTTTATAAATAATATATAAAAATTTTAAAATAAATAAATATATATATAAAATAATATATATATATAAATTTTATTAAATATAGGAGGCAGTTAGGGTAAGATATAAACAGCTATTGGAGGATAGATGGGCTAATGGAGCATAGGCAATGGGGTCGAAGAGGTATGGGGTAGTTTAAAAATGTAGTGTTAGAGTGTTCAGCAGAAGTTGTGGTTACAGGAAAGTGGGTGCAGGAGGGAAGAGGAGCGATTGGTGGAATGATGATGTAAGAGAGTAGTAAGGGAGAAAAAGTTAGCATATGAGAAGTTTTTACAAAGTAGAAGTGATGCAAGGAGGGAAGAGTATATGGAGAAAAAGAGAGAAGTTAAGAGAGTGGTGAAGCAATGTAAAAAGAGAGCAAATGAGAGAGTGGGTGAGATGTTATCAACAAATTTTGTTGAAAATAAGAAAAAGTTTTGGAGTGAGATTAACAAGTTAAGAAAGCCTAGAGAACAAATGGATTTGTCAGTTAAAAATAGGAGAGGAGAGTTATTAAATGGAGAGTTAGAGGTATTGGGAAGATGGAAGGAATATTTTTGAGGAATTGTTAAATGTTGATGAAGATAGGGAAGCTGTGATTTCGTGTATAGGGCAAGGAGGAATAACATCTTGTAGGAGTGAGGAAGAGCCAGTTGTGAGTGTGGGGTGGGGGAAGTTCGTGAGGCAGTAGGTAAAATGAAAGGGGTAAGGCAGCGGGATTGATGGGATAAAGATAGAAATGTTAAAAGCAGGTGGGGATATAGTTTTGGAGTGGTTGGTGCAATTATTTAATAAATGTATGGAAGAGGGTAAGGTACCTAGGGATTGGCAGAGAGCATGCATAGTTCCTTTGTATAAAGGCAAAGGGATAAAAGAGAGTGCAAAAATTATAGGGGGATAAGTCTGTTGAGTGTACCTGGTAAAGTGTATGGTAGAGTTATAATTGAAAGAATTAAGAGTAAGACAGAGAATAGGATAGCAGATGAACAAGGAGGCTTTAGGAAAGGTAGGGGGTGTGTGGACCAGGTGTTTACAGTGAAACATATAAGTGAACAGTATTAGATAAGGCTAAAGAGGTCTTTGTGGCATTTATGGATTTGGAAAAGGCGTATGACAGGGTGGATAGGGGGCAATGTGGCAGATGTTGCAAGTGTATGGTGTAGGAGGTAGGTTACTGAAAGCAGTGAAGAGGTTTTTACGAGGATAGTGAGGCTCAAGTTAGAGTATGTAGGAAAGAGGAAATTTTTCCCAGTAAAAGTAGGCCTTAGACAAGGATGTGTGATGTCACCGTGGTTGTTTAATATATTTATAGATGGGGTTGTAAGAGAAGTAAATGCGAGGGTCTTGGCAAGAGGCGTGGAGTTAAAAGATAAAGAATCACACACAAAGTGGGAGTTGTCACAGCTGCTCTTTGCTGATGACACTGTGCTCTTGGAGATTCTGAAGAGAAGTTGCAGAGATTGGGTGGATGAATTTGGTAGGGTGTGCAAAAGAAGAAAATTAAAGGTGAATACAGGAAAGAGTAAGGTTATGAGGATAACAAAAAGATTAGGTGATGAAAGATTGAATATCAGATTGGGGGGAGAGAGTATGGAGGAGGTGAACGTATTCAGATATTTGGGAGTGGACGTGTCAGCGGATGGGTCATATGAAAGATGAGGTGAATCATAGAATTGATGAGGGAAAAAGAGTGAGTGGTGCACTTAGGAGTCTGTGGAGACAAAGAACTTTGTCCTTGGAGGCAAAGAGGGGAATGTATGAGAGTATAGTTTTACCAACGCTCTTATATGGGTGTGAAGCGGGGGTGATGAATGTTGCAGCGGGGGAGAAGGCTGGAGGCAGTGGAAAATGTCATGTCTGAGGGCAATGTGTGGTGTGAATATAATGCAGAGAATTCGTAGTTTGGAAGTTAGGAGGAGGTGCGGGATTACCAAAACTGTTGTCCAGAGGGCTGAGGAAGGGTTGTTGAGGTGGTTCGGACATGTAG